CTGAGTCAAGATAGGTGGGAGGAGGGCGGCTTTGCCTCAGTTTCTGTTTTAATCGATTGGCAGTAGTGGCCCTCAAAGACGTCCAAAGGAAAAGTGACTGGAATCCTGTCAGGAATTGGCTGTCGGTCTGAGGGACGTAAGAACATAAGAGAAGCCATGTTGGATCAGACCAATGGCCCATCCAGTCCAACACTCTGTCACACAGTGGCCAAAAACACCAGGTGCCGCCGGGAGGTCCACCAGCGAGGCCAGTCGAGCAGTTTTTCTACAACACCACACTTGCTCTCACACAATCTCATGTCCTATTGTTCGCCTCAAGGAAGCTTCTAGAATCCCCACTGGAGAAAGTCGTCCCCTCGGTTTTTCCTCCTGGCTTTTCTGAGGTAGTAGTTGAGATCCTTCTGCTTTTAGGAGGGAAAAAGCGCCAAGGGGTTCTCCCCCCCCCTTATCTCAGTATAACTGGCTGAATCGAGATAGGTGGGAGGAGGGCGGCTTTGCCTCAGTTTCTGTTTTAATCGATTGACAATAATACCAATGACACTCAAAGGAAGCCCAAAGGAAAAGTGACTGGAATCCTGTCAGGAGCTGGCTGTTGGTCTGAGGGACGTAAGAACATAAGAGAAGCCATGTTGGATCAGCCAGTGGCCCATCCAGACCAACACTCTGTGTCACACAGTGGCCAAAACCCAGGTGCCATCAGGAGGTCCACCAGCGGGGCCAGAACTCCAGAAGACCTCCTCCTGTTGCCCTCCAAGCACCAAGAAGACAGAGCATCACCGCCCCAGACAGAATGTTCTGTCTATACCTTGTGGCTAATAGCCACTCATGGACCTCTGCTCCATGTAAGAATATAAGAGAAGCCATGTTGGATCAGGCCAGTGGCCCATCCAGTCCAACACTCTGTGTCACACAGTGGCCAAAACCCAGGTGCCATCAGGAGGTCCACCAGCAGAGCCAGAACTCCAGACGCCCTCTCACTGTTGCCCCCCCCCCAAGCACCAAGAAGTGTAGGAGAGTCAATCTGAAGTAGGTGATCTGGTTAGAATTTTCTCTATTTATGGGTGATTCAGAGTTGAAAGGGTAGAACAGAAAAACAGGGATCAGCAACCTTTATTTCCTGAGTACCGAAAACCCCATAATGTCTACTCATGAATATGCGATAATGCTATTGGCAATGGGGGTGGGTGGGTAGAGGGACTACGATTGCTGTTGGCCAGGCAGACTTGGTGGGTGGGAGGACAACCATCGCTATTGGCCAAGCACACTTATTGATTGGAGAGACAATGATTGCTATTGGCCACACACACTTGTTGGGTGGGGGGACAACTAGGGGTCATTTCCTGCAGGAGCGCACAGGAGTGGAGCTCCAGCAGTAAAGAGCCCAGGGGGCGGGCACAGGCAACAAGCCCCACCCCCTGCTCCCAGCAGCCCTCAGTCAGAGCAAGAAGCAGCCAGGTAAGTTGCAGAGCCGGCCCCCCGGTCCAAAACAGTCCAGTGGCACCTTTAAGACCAAGTTTTGTTCAAGTATAAGCTCTCCCTCCTCTGCGAGGACAGATCTGCACGTTCCCCCTCCCCCAATAACTAGCAATCCAAAACAGTCCAATGGAGCCTGAGCGGTGGGTGTTGCCTTCTGACACACTTCCGGTGATGTCAGGGGGTGTGGCATATGCAAATGAGTTATGCTAATGAGCCCCTGCACCTCTTTTTCTACGAAATGACCCCTGGGGACAATGATTGCTATCGGCCAGGCACACTTGGTGAGTGGAGGGACGCTGTTTTTGTTTTTTTTAAGAGGACGCTTCTTCCTGCCTCCCCTGCTTTTCAGCTTGTTTCCTGGCTCACGCAGTTCCCTCTTTCTACCCTCCCTGCCCTCCTCTCTCCCCCCAGGGGAGAGCGTGGAAGAGAACGCCAACGTGGTGGTACGGTTGTTGATCCGACGTCCCGAGTGCTTCGGCCCTGCCCTACGGGGCGAGGGTGGCAACGGCCTGCTTGCGGCCATAGAGGAGGCCATCCAGATCTCCCAGGATCCTGCCCGGGATGGGCCCACTGTCAAGAAGGATCGCCGTCGGGAGCTGTGCGTGAGGCTGGGGAGGCACCTTTGAGGGGCGGTGGGACATGCCGCCTTATATGGGCCTGGGGTGTGTGCAGAGATAAAGTAAGACGCATCCCATGGATATAGACCGGGGGTCCCCAACACAGTCCCCGTGGGCACCGTGGCGCTCTCCAATACCTTTCCTGGTGCCCACCGAATGCTTTTAGAAAGGGAGCGGGATAGGTGGGGCTTTTGCCCAGCCAGGCTTCTGATAGGCCGTGTAGATTAAAAGGCATCCTGTTAAACAGTACTTCTTGCCCGAAATGTTGAAGAGTTGCTATTGGAGTTATGGATTCAGGTAGGGCTGGCCGTGTTGGTCTGAAGCAATAGAACAAAGCGTGAGCCCAGGGGCACCTTTTAAGACCAACAAAGATTTATTCCTGGTATAAGTTGTCATATGCAAGCACACTTCCGCCGATACCTCCTCAATCGTGTGTGTGCCTGGCCCTTCCTGACAAGAACCCCCACACCCTATAAGTAATGGTTGAGAAGATTCTTTTCCACTGTATCTGAGGAAGTGTGCTTACACACGAAAGCTTATACCAGGAATAAAACTTTGCTGGTCTTAAAGGTGCCCCCGGACTCAAACTTTGTTCTATCCGAGTTATAGATAACATATGGGCAGGCGGGCCCATAACTACAGTAGCACAGCCCCACAAGGGGGCACAGGCCCACAAGGTGGCACAGCCCCACAAGAATTTCTCCTGTAAATGCTTTTTCCAATAATTCTAAAAGATTTTTTAAAAGGCAAACACTCCTGTAAGCACAACGGGGTGCTGTAGTTGACTAAATCCTGCACTGAGCAAAGGGGTTGGAGTAGGTGACCTCTAGGACCCCTTCTAACTCTGTGTCAAGAAACTGGTCTCCTTTAAGAGAGTTTTTCTGCCCAAAGCGTAGCTTTCTGGACTATAGAAGTCATCACCCCCACCTGCCGGCTTGTTATCAGAATTGTTGCTTAGGCTGGCAGACGTGATTAAATTGCAGCGGCTGAGAACTGTCATCTAAAGCGGCCGACAGCTTGCAATTTAGGGATCTATCCCGGTCACAGCTTTCTATGGGCTAACTGGCTTTTCCTTCTGCACTGAGAACGTCAGCCCCACCAGATGAAAATTTGCCCCACAAGCAAGGGTAGCAATTCTAGCCAACTACCCCATCTGTTTTGGGAATGAGACTGTGGTGACCAACACACTTTGCTCCTTGGCTACATGTTCACACATTTCCCGATGCATGTTCCCGCCCTTTCTTTTATTTTTTTTCTTCGTTTTGGGGCCAGACCCCCATTTTCTGCTCCCCCACGGTCCCTATGCTTTGCTGCATGATTCCCTAATGTTCCCCCTTCCCCTTCCCCTCCCCTTCCCTCTTCTCTCTCTCTCTGCCAGGTTTGGGGGAGAGGAAGCCCACGAGGAGAACCGGGTGCATTTGGGCAACGCGATCATGTCCTTCTACGCGGCACTCATCGACTTGCTGGGGCGCTGTGCCCCCGAGATGCATGTAAGCACCGCCCCACGCACACACACCCCCACGGAGGAAAACACGCCCGCCTCCCCACGAAAGCCTGCATGATTTTGGCACTGGTGCACTTCACCCAGCACTGCCCCACCACCATGCCCGGTTTCCAGCTAGCCGTCTCCCTCCGTCACCTTTCCTCCTGAGCTGGTCAGGTTCCTCCCCGTCCGGTTCACGCCGCTTCCTTCTTTTGCCTCTTCCCTGAACAGCTCATCCAGGCCGGGAAGGGCGAAGCTCTCCGGATCAGAGCCATCTTGCGCTCCTTGGTGCCCCTGGAGGACCTTGTTGGAGTCATCAGCCTCCCGCTGCAAATCCCCGCCTTTGGCAAAGGTACGTAGGCAGAACAAGGGGGAAATTATGGGACAAACATGGAGGGCCAGTTATCAAAAACAAAACGAACACTGCGAATGCAATTCGCGAGCCTAATAGCAATGCCTTTAAATGAATATTCTGAAATACGGAATGAGTGTACATTCTTAAGTTTGGTATAGTGGTTAAGTGCATGGACTCTAATCTGGGAGAACCGGATTTGATTCCCCACTCCTCCTCATGCAGCTGCTGGTGTGACCTTGGGCAAGTAGTTCTGTCTGAGCTGTCCTTGAAAAAGAGCCGTTTCTTTCAAGAGTTCTCTCAGCCCCACCTACCTCACAGGGTGTCTGTGGTGGGGAGGGGAAGGGAAAGGAGTTTGTGAGCCGCTCTGAGACTCCTTCGGGTAGTGAAAGGCGGGGCATAAATCCAATTTCTTCTCTTCTTCTTCGTGGCTGGTGTCTCCTCCTGCAGCCAGTTTGGTGTAGTGGTTAAGTGCACAGACTCTAATCTGGGAGAACCAGGTTTGATTCCCCACTCCTCCACTTGCACCTGCTGACATGACCTTGGGTCAGTCACAAGTTCTGGCACAGCTCTCCTTGAAAAAGAGCAGTTTGTGTCAGAGTTCTCTCAGCCCCACCCACCTCCCAGGGTGTCTGTTGTGGGGAGGGGAAGGGAAAGGAGTTTGTAAGCCGCTCTGAGACTCCAAGTGAAGGGCGGGGTATAAATCCAATCTCTTCTTTTACTGAACCAGAAAATGGGCTTTGAGGTCAGAGATGTTGAATGTTCTTTATTAATCATCCTGGTCTCACAAACACCAGCAGGGCCTGTGAGGAGATTTTGACTGCCTTAAGGAAAGAGCCACAGGTAGCCATCACCATACACAGCAAAGAAAGGATGAAGGGTCTTGCCACAGAAGGAGGCTCCAGAGAACTCATAGAGAAGGGCTACTGTGTCGGCATTGAAAAAGGAGACTCGCCCCCCCTCATAGTTCAAGCAGAGTCGGATCTTCTTGAGCTCCCCACTAAGGGTCAGGGGAGGGTCAGTGCCCTTTACGAAAGCCTTGTACTGGCCCTTCCACTTCCCCACAGCCCAGACCCCTTCCTCAAGAGTCAAAGTGCCACTGCCCCTCACAGGCTTTCTGGCCACCCCCACAGCCCAGCCTTCCCCAAATCCCAAAATGATTTCCCAGAAATGGCAACCTGCTGTGAATCCCTCACGACCCAGCACAAAGCCATAGCGTTTCTCAGGATCTTTAAATAAGTCTTGAGCTGTACTTTGCCATTTCATGCTTTTCCAGTCATCAGATAGGACAAGACGGGAACTAGCTGAGGCTGGATCCAGAGTCACTTTTGCTGTTGTGAAGATATGAGATGACAGAAGAGATGGAGAATCAGGTAGGAGATTGGTTTACTCTCAGAAGATAAACTAAACACATCAACATACAAGCTCGAACACCTCCTGGGGAAAACCCACCCTGGAACAGTCCTGTTTATAAAACGATTGCTGTTTATAAAACGATTGTCCTCGGCAAGGACCGAGGATTCCCCACAGAAGCCCAGCCAACAGGGCCTGCCCTGAAGGCCTATTGCCCAGACATGGCCAGGCTCCAGCAATTTGGCTCCAAGAACCTAGGTTTAGGGTGGAGAACCTCTATAGATCCAACTGGAGGTGGCATGGTCATGAGAGTAATGGTGGGATCTGAAATGAGAGGGTGGGTCTGGTCCCTGGGCCACTCCTTAAGAGCCTCTATCCTGAGCAGCCTGGGATGGGTGAATGACAGGAAAGTGGGAAGGAGGTGCACAGGCTGGAGAACTCTCCTGGGAGGCGATCCTGTTCACAAAGGAAACTCCTGAATAAAAGGAACCGTTGAGCTTCATCTCTGAGTTGGAGTCCCCTTACAAACAGCTGGGGAGGGTCATGGAAGTGTCATTACCACCCAGCCTGCTGTTCCCTCCAAAGCCCAGTGTCCATTGTTGGAAATAGGATTTTGGACTGAGTAGGGCTTATGATGTTCTCAGGTTAAGAGGCTCATATTCAAAATGAGTTACTGCTTCCCCATTCCTCTCTCCCACTATTTATAACTAACCCATTTCTGATTCTCACGTTCCTAGGATGGAACTCTTGAATGTCAATGAAACACAAACAGAAAACCTCCTGACAAGTCCCTCTCCATCTTGTGAATTCTGTTCTCCCTCAGGCTTCAAAATTTACCTCTTAGCTTCGGAAATGCCCAAGTCAGAGTTCCTAGAGAAACAGAAGAAACAGAGAATAAACATCAAACCACTGTAATGATAGAGTCTCTATCAGGTAACAAGAATAGCAATTCCTAAAAGTAGAACAAAGTTTGAGACTCGTGGCACTTTAAGACCTTTAAGTTTTATTCAAGGTACTAGAAATAAGGCCCGTTGTGGAAATAAATACAACGGGAGCTAGAAAGAGGCTCTGGGAGAGTGCTCTGGCTTTGGGCAAACAGTGTCAGTCTGCTTTTAAAACATGAACCTGGGACCTGCACACCACCAGAATACAGCAGGTTCCATATGCAACTGACATTCCAACTGCCTTGCGGGGGGGGGGGGAGTTTGAGGTGTGGAATGGTGAAGTCCAATCAGCTTCCATATGCAAAAGACCAGGTTGTCGCAGCAGTTGTGGTGTGGGCGGGACCCGGGCTTTGCCTTCTGATTGGTGGCGATATATGCTGAGGAGCAGTGCCATCAGCCATACTCTAAGGGAGTGCATTTTAGAATTAGAACTTTTGCACCCACTATTCAATTATATATAAGGAGAGATTCCTTGTTCCCGTGGATCTCTCCGGATTATACTTTCCCAGCTTCAGCTGGAGTGTGGTGGGATTCCCTTCCTCGGAGTTTTTCAAGGGAAGGTTTAGGCAGGCGTCTTTTGGCTGCAGGAGCTTAATGGGGATGGCCCCCTGGGAGGGGAATCACATCTCTCATGGTATGTTTCCCCCTGGGCAGCGTAACTCCATTATCTTTCCTTCTAGTAGCTTTGTGTCCTCGGTCTCCTTTGTTGAGAACAGTTGCTTTCACACACGTCAACAATCCTTGGGTGGTATGCGGGGAGTGTGTTTCCAGTGGCAGCCAGGAACATACCTATGCTTGTAGCATGCAAGCTCTACTAACTGAGTCCCAGACCCATCGATGCCTCAGCCGAATTGGGGCATCTCGTGATGTACCTTTCTTTGCCTACCTTTCTGATGGTTAGATTCAACACCTTAGAGACCAACAAGATTTTCAGGAATTGAAGCTTCCTTCGTCAGATACTAGTAGGAAAGGAAATCTCTGAATCTTTATATCGTAGACTCAGAGAATTGGAAGGGGCCATTCAGGCCATCTAGTCCAACCCACTGCTCAGTGCAGGATTAGACCAGAGCATCCTTGACAAGTGTTTGTCACCACCTCCCTAGGCAGCTGAACCCACTGTTGCACAACTCTTACTTTCAAAACGTTTTTCCTAATATCCTGCCAGTACCTTCCCGCCCTTAATTTAAACCCATTCTTGTGAGTTCTGTCCTCTGTTGCTAACAGGAACAGCTCCCTGTCCTCCTCCAAGCAACAGCCCTTCAGATACTTAAAGAGAGCCATAATGTCCCCCCTCAACCTCCTCTTCTCCAGACTTAACATTCCCAAGTCCCTCGACCTTTCCTCATGGGGCTTGGTCTCCAGGCCCCCGATCATCCTCGTCGCTCTCCTCTGCACCCGCTCCATTCTGTCAACATCCTTTTTGAAGTGAGGCCTCCAGAACTGCACACAATACTCCAGGTGCGGCCTGACCAATGTAGTGTACAGCGGGACTATGCAATCTTGCAATTTGGATGTGATGCCTCTGTTGACACACCCCAAGATCGCTTTAGCCTTTTTTGTTGCTGCATCACACTGGCTGCTCATATTTAACTTACAGTCCACCCGTACCTCAAGATCTTGTTCACACGCACACTGCTAACCCAGAAGGGTATCCCCCACCCGGTATGCGTGTTCCTCGTTTCTGTTACCCAGATGTAGAACTCGGCACTTCTCCTTCTTAAATTGCACCTTGTTCACATCCGCCCAGTCCGAAGGTGGAAGGGGTCTTGTAAAGAATGATTGTAAAGGAGGCAGAGGAATGTGATGTAATCGGCTTAATTGGAGCAGAGGGGAAATGCTCGGGGGCGGAAAATTAACATCTGTAGTGAGATAAGAATCCTGTGTCCGTATTCAGCCCTGGGAGGATCCGTTCTTCTGAACTTGCGAATTAGCTCGAGTTCACCCATCTCACGTTGTAATCTCCCCTTGAAGCTACCTTTCCGGCGGCCGCACTTCTCCCTGACCCGCCTTCCCCTTTCCTCTCCCGTCTCAGGCTGCCTTCAGCACCACCGAGATGGCGCTGGCCCTGAACCAAAAAAACGCTACCTGTGCCTGGCCCTGCTGCCCCTCATCACCAAGTGCGCCCCTCTGTTCGCCGGCACCGAGCACCGGGCCATCATGGTGGACTCCATGCTGCACACCATCTATCGCCTCTCGCGTGGGCGTTCCCTCACCAAAGCTCAGCGGGACGTGATCGAGGAATGCCTGATGGCCCTTTGCAGGTACTGGGCAGGGAGGCAACGTTAGGGTGGGAGGGAGGACTGTCAAATCTGAGTTGGGAGATTCCCGGAGCTCCGGGGTGGGTGTTGGTGGAGCCTGGGGAGGGCGGAGTTTGGGGAGGGGAGGGACCTCAGTGTCACAGGCTGGGGTGCCAGTCAAAGGGAGTCCAGAACAGGCCGTGGTCAGGAGCCAAGAAGACAGTGCAAAGTCCATAGCCAAGCCGGGGTCAGGAGCCAGGAACGCAGAGCCAAGTCCAAAGCCAGGGGGTCCGAAGGTCTGGGTGCAAGAGCCGAGCCAGAGTGGATGCTAGCAGCACGAAGGATCCAGAGTGGATGCAGAGCAGCACAAAATTTGTGACGCTGTTGTTCCCCAGGTTTTTGAATTAAAAACGAGTCTGGCTCGCCACCTAGTGGTGCCACAATGCTAAAAGAGCTAGGACTTGTGGCTGCCAGACAATCTTGGGATCTCCTGGCTATTCTACAGACAGCGGCATGCGATCATTATTAATTCCATTAGGACTGCCAATAAATAAAAACTAAATCTAATGCCGTCCTTGACAAAACTGCCTTCAGCTGCCTCCTGAAGAAAGAAGGCGAGGGGGCAGGGCGCCCCTCCCTGGGGAGGTTGTTCCATAATTGCAGGGCGGCCACCGAAAAGACCCTGTCTCGTGTGCCCGTTAGAAGAGCTTCCTTGACTAGTGGGACATTCAGGAGGGTCCCTTCCTGTGATCCTAATTCCCAGGGGTCACTTTGTAGAAAAAGAGGTGCAGGAGCTCATTAGCATAACTCATTAGCATAACTTATTTGCATATGCCACACTCCCTGACATCACTGGCAGTGTTTCAGGAGGCAACACCCACCGCTCAGGCTCCACTGGACTGTTTTGGATTGCTGGCTATTGGGGGTGGGGGAATGTGCAGATCTGTTCTCACAGAGGAGGGAGAGCTTGTACCTGAATAAAACTTGGTCTTAAAGGTGCCACTGGACTGTTTTGGACCGGGGACCTGGGGGGAGGGCTCTGCAGCTTACCTGGCTGCTTCTTGCTCTGACTGAGGGCTGCTGGGAGTAGGGGGTGGGGCTTGTTGCATGTGCCTGCCCCCTGGGCTCTTTACTGCCAGAGCTCTGCTCCTGTGCGCTCCTGCAGGAAATGACCCCTGCTAATTCCTAAGCAGGAACGTATCGGAGATACCCCAGTCCCAAGCTATGTAGGGCTTCTTGTCTAGGCCTTGGGTGGGCACCGTTAGTCCCAGCCAGTTCTGTGGGCTACTTCTTCCTTCCCAGAATGCTTTGCTGGGCCTTTCCAGACCCTTCTCCTTCTTTCTCCCAGGTACATTCGCCCCTCTATGCTTCAGCACCTCCTGCGCCGGCTGGTGTTTGACGTCCCCATTCTCAACGAGTTTGCCAAGATGTCCCTCAAGGTGAGCGACAGAGCATGAGGCTGTATCTCCTCACAGGGAGGATGGGGAAAACCTTGCTTTTGAGGGCAAGAGTGTCTGTCTTTTGCGGTAGCAGCCAGCTTTCTTGTGAGCTGAGCCACTCTCCTTCCTTTCTCAGCTCCTGACCAATCATTACGAGCGTTGCTGGAAGTATTACTGCCTTCCCACTGGCTGGGCTAACTACGGGGTCACCTCTGAGGAGGAGCTGCATCTCACCCGTAAGCTCTTCTGGGGCATCTTCGAGTCCTTGTCCCACAAGGTGAGCACCATACTTATCGCTTTAACCATTTTTATCCCACACGTCTTGTCGGGATGGAATACGTGGCTCTTCCGTCCCCCAGTTTATGCCCTTAGCAGCTCTGTGAGGTAAGCCGGGGTGAGAAAGAGAGAGAGAGACTGTACCAAGTTCTCCCAGTGAGCTTTATGGCTATGGATTTGAGTCAGATCTCTCAGGTCCGAATCTAACCACTGCCCGTTTGGTGTAGTAGTTAGGAGCGCGGACTCTGGGAGAACCGAGTTTGATCCCCCCACTCCTCCACATGCAGCTGCTGGAGTGACCTTGGGTCAGTCACAAGTTCTCTCAGGACTGTTCTCTCAAGGGCAGTCCTCAAAAGAGCTCTCTGAGCCGAGTTAGTGTGCGCTAGCTCACAGTTTTTTAGCTCACAATGTTCCCTCTAAGCTGTGGAGTCTTGTGAGCGAAAATTCTACTTTGTGAGCTGCTAGCATTAAAGTTGTGAGCGAGCAGCTTGGCTACTGCATAAATTAGTTTGCTCTGGAGCCATCCTTCCTGGGCCAAGACAAAAATGTGTGAGCCGGAGGCTAAAAACCTGTGAGCTAGCTCACACTAACTCACCTTAGAGAGAACACTGCTCACAACTCCTCCTCTTCTTCTTCTTCTTTCCTGACCAGATGGGAATTGAGACCCCTGAGGAATAAGGTGCCCATGTTTTAGAAGGTGTCAGAGCTTTCAGTGTCCTTGAAGATATGGCTGCCTCTGTAGACCCTAATTCAGCAATCCCCAACATGGTGCCCGTGGGCATTCCCCTGCCCGCCGACACCTTTCCTGGCCCCCACAATTTTTTTTAGAAAGTAGGCAGGGTCTAGAGGGGCTTTTGCCCAGCTAGGCTTCTGCATGGCCATTGGAGCTCTGATTGTCTGTGCAAATTCAAAAATCATTCCTTTGGCAGCAGCTGCCGCCACAGCTAGAGATGTAAAATTTCCAGAAATTTTGAAGTTTGGAAAAAAAAACAGTTTTCCCCCTTTTTGGGGGGGCAGCAGAAATTTTTGGGAAAATGGGGGAAAATGCTACATTAGCACTTCTTTTTTCTTTTCCAGATTGAAAGTCATTCTGTCACTTTAGGAACATAAAATATTACTATGGACATTTTTACTTGGCATGAAATTATCACAACTAGCCTATTAAAAACCTAGTGTATCCAAAGAATTATTACAAACAGAATACCCACCCACATGCAAAAACAAAACTGAAACCTTTTTCTTTTCTTGTGACAATGGCACCTCCTAAAGGAAGAAATGCATCTTGTTCTTGCATTGGAGAGTTCAGTTTGTAACCTAGGACTTGCTTGCCCTCAGTGCACAGAAATTAGATCAACCTGATACCATACATATTTTTTAGAAATGATTTGGAAGATATTTGAACACCTTGTCTTGAAATATTTTATTCATCATGTTAAAATAAAACGTTCCATAATCATTTTTTTCCCTTTTCTTTTTTCAGTTTTTCAGAAAAAAAACCAAAAAAGGCTCCAGGAAAAAAACGGGAAAAAAAAGTTTTCCGGGTTTTTTCTGGGCCTTCACATCTCTAGCCACAGCACAAGGCTCTTCACTGTGTGACTGAAAGTAAGCTGCTTGCTGTTGGCAGAGTAATTAACACAGTAATGGTCCACAACCCGACTCTATCCATTGATCATGCTGTGCACCACAGGAGGTCGCCATCTTTGTTCCTTTGCTCTCACCTGCTCGTGCCCAAGAGCCTCTGGCGATCTTTCTACCTTTAATCAGAGCTGTGCTTAATCTGGGCCCATAACCCCTGTTGGCAGAGTAATGAACACAGCAACGGTGCACGACCTGATTAGAGAGTAGATAAAGGTTTGTTTAGGAAATAACATACTTGATAGTAAAGAGGAGAGACAGAGGTAGGGTCCTAACTGCATCTCTAGCTGAGAGAGAGGGTAAGACTAAGTGTGGAGCTTCCGAGAAGAAGCAGGAAATTGCCCTGAGGGTAGTAATCTGGAGACAGACAAAGAATGACACTTAAAAGGAGAGAAGGTGTTGACCTTCCTATCCTATCTAATTGCCCTCTTGCTGCCCCATTCAAGGTCTACTTCTCTACTTCTTTGTACAACAGACATTGTCTTTTCCAATACCGACAAGCAAAGAAATATTTCTCAACAATATGTTCATTTTTGAAAGCCTCCTGCTGAGCAGAGCTTCTGCCTGAAATATTGACGAGTTCTGCTAGGGTCACGCATGACCTCCCTCCTCCCTGGCATTTTGTGGTTGGCTTCTCATCTTGTGGCAGCCATTTTATGGTTGGTTCCACCTCCTGGGGCAGCCAGTTTGTGATCACATCCACCACCCTGTGTCAGAGTTCCAAAGGGGGAGAGCTAGCTGTGGTGTAGTGGTTCAGAGTGGCGGACTCTAATCTGGGAGAGCCGGGTTTGATTCCCCACTCCTCCACATGGAGCCAGCTGGGTGACTTTGGGTCACTCACAAGTTCTCTCAGAGCTGTTCTCTCAAGAGCAGTTCTCAAAAGAGCTCTCTCAACCCCACCTACCTCACAGGGTGTCTTTTGTGGGGAGAGGAAGGGAAGGTGATTGTAAGCCGCTCTGAGACTCCAAGCGAAGGGCGGGGTATAAATCCAACTCTTCTTCATTTTCTTCTTCATCGTCAGTAATGTGGAGACATCACATCCGGCGCACCAGAAGTGATGTCACTGGATAGCCAGTGACAGAGGCCTAGGCCTCCCTCGGCTGCTGGTAAATCCCCCCACCGGCCAGCTAGGGGCAGGGCATCTCTCACACTCAGTGGGTGGCTGGCCACCCTGGCTCTGGCATCACCGGACTCAAAAATCAGGAGTTTTATGGATCAGATACAGTCTCCTTGTTCCCTCTGCCAGGAGGGCCACAGGTCCAAGGAAGAAATTGCAGACTGTGGAGATTCCAGGGCTGAGGCTCTCTGTAGTTCAGGGGACTTGTTGTTGCACAAATCCTCTTATCCAGGGGTCTTGTTGTAGAAAAAGAGCTGCCGGAGCTCATTAGCATAACTCATTAGCATAACTTATTTGCATATGCCACGCCCCCTGACATCACCGGAAGTGACAGAAGGCCACACCCCCTGACATCACCGGAAGTGTGTCAGAAGGCCCGGCTACTTACCCTCCTGCTTCATCCTCATTCCCAAACGGAATGAGGATCGAAGCAGAGGGCGGGGTAAAGAAGGGGCGGGGCTTCACCACGTGACCGCCCCGCCCCCTAGAGGTTCTCTTCCGGAGCTCCGTACCTGAGAGCTCCCCCCCGACTAGAGCCCTGCTCTTATCACCTAACCCTAACCCTCCATTCCCTCCTGCTTTGCACCCAGTGGGCACCTGACTGCTAAGTCATGAAGAAATAGCTTGGGAGCCTGTCATCCGGGGGGGCATTTGAATGTGATTATTTCTCTTCCTTAGTGAACCTTTTGTTTTCCTTCCTGTCTCTACTTCTTCCCCTGCCGGTGCCCAGAAATTTGACTCTGAACTGTACAAGCTCGCCATGCCCTGCCTGTGTGCCATCGCAGGCGCAATCCCACCTGACTATGTGGATGCGAGCTACTCCTCCAAGACAGAGAAGAAAGCCTCTGTGGACGCTGAAGGAAACTTTGACCCCAAGCCTATCGAGACCCTCAAGTGGGTGACTTTTGCAGTGCATCCGTGTGGGGGTAGATTGGGAGATTGCCACTTGCATGCATGGAATTTATGTCTGGGGGCAGTGTTAAGATTTTGGGGAGGGGAATCGCAACTTCCTTTTTAAAACAAAGTAAATAAGACTCAGGTAATGGATGATTTCTGTTTGCAACTCCAATAATTATATTGCATATCTTCTATTACCATCTATAGGGATATGTAAGAATCAGGGTTTAGAGGACTGCATTTTATCACCTTTTCTTTAATCCTTGGTCAGTCTGCTGTGTTTTCATAAGTGGTGTGTGCTTTTTATTTTCTTGCTAAACTTTTCATTTTCAAAAGCCGAGCCGAGACAAGCTGAGGAAATACTAACTGAACCCCACTGGGTGCTGGTAGGCAATCCCACCCCAATGATGTATGTGCCCATAGTTAGGGATAATAAACTATGTAAGCCGCTCAGAGACCCCGCGGGAGGGGTTCGAGCGGGATATAAGCTGAATGTAAATAAAATAAATAAATAAAAATGTGGATAGTCTGAGCTCCCACCTTAAACCCCTGTTCAGTCCTTGTGTACCAGGAACAGAAAGGAAAGGGGGCTTTCTCCCCTAAAGCATGCAACTAAACATGTAATTCCCCTCAGTAGTGAGTGCAAAAGGCAAGGGACATGCACAGATGAAACTAAACCTTTAGTGGCAGAAGGGTGCCCGAGCACTAACCTTCAGGCTCAAACCCAAAAAGGAAAATTGGTTAGCTGGTGGCAGTGAAAATACCTAGATCTATATCTATCTGTCTGTCTGTCTGTCTGTCTATCTATATCTAGATAGATAGATAGATAGATAGATAGATAGATAGATAGATAGAAGATAGATAGATAGATAGATAGATAGATAGATAGATAGATAGATAGACAGACAGATAGATCTATCAAGAGAGAATTATGTAGTAGAGGAAGGCAAGGTTTGCTGGGCAGGAGACCCAGGACAGCTGTGTACCTTTCTCACTCCCAAAATGTACAGAAATGACCATGTGTGAGCCACATCTCCTCACATTATCACCATCATCATACAGCCTTGCGTGTAATGGTATAGCCAGTAGATCCTAAGACTGTCTGGCAGCCAGAAGTTCTAGCTCTTTTAGCATTATGGACCACTAGGTGGTGAGCTAGACTTGTTTTTAAGGCATGGGGCGTTTCAGAGGTGGTTTGCCATTGCCTGCCTCTGTGTCAGGACCCTGGTATCCCTTGGCGGTCGCCCTTCCAAATACTAGCCAAGGCCAACTCCGCTTAGCTTCCGAGATCTGACGAGATCGGGCTAGCCTTGGCTATCTAGATCAGAAGGATATGGTCCTCCCACTTCCCCCTCCTCACGTAGCCCCTTACTTTCCAGGTCCTTTCGTAATAGATAACAAGCTTTTACATACTATACTGGTGATTTGCGATGGAAAACCCATTCACTTGGCTTCCTGCTAGGGTGAGGTCTAACTGAGGACTCGTACTTCTGTTTCATATAGGGGCAGAGAATGTCTCTAATGAAAAAGGTTTCCCTTTCTGCTGGCTGATCTTTCAAAAGGCCTTTTCCTCTCTTCTCACACACAGCGTCATAATTCCCGAGAAGCTGGACTCGTTTATCAACAAGTATGCCGAGTACACTCACGAGAAGTGGGCCTTTGACAAGGTAAGGGAGTCTCCGTGGACCTCCTTGGGGCTGATGTGATTTTAGATGTATGTTCTGTCCTGGCATAGACTCCAGATTCCCAGTTCGGAGTGCAGCAAAACAAAGAGCTCTCCTTGATCTCCCCATTTGCAGATTCAGAATAACTGGACGTTCGGAGAAACGTACGACGAGGAGGCCAAGACCAACCCCATGTTGCGCCCCTATAAAACGTTCTCAGAAAAGGTAAACACATCCATGCTTCCTTCCCTGTCCAGCCTAAAAGCAGGGTCACGCTGCATGGCTGCAAAGTCCAAATGGGAACCGGAGGGAAAAATTCACCCACGTCTGAGACGTGACAGATCTCGAAACCCTAGGTTGAATTCCAAGGATATGCAGATTTCAGTTTCTAAAATTCCATTTGGTGCTACCAAGCTTTATGAAAGACTCCTTGTGTTATGTATTGAGCCTAAGCCATCCCTGAATATGGACCTTGGACTGGGTGAGCTTGCTCCCCAAGAACAATAGCTGACCAGGATCCTGGAACTGACCTATAGATAAGCAGTGTAATGTAAATAGCCTATCCTA